TAAGTTTAATGAATGGAATAAAAGTTTAGAGGATCCAAACGAAAATATATTTAAAATTCAATTCTTAGAGGCTGACGCAATAGTCAGCAATTTACCAATATATTCTCAAAAACATCCAGATCACATGTATACGAGCAAACTCATCAACGCGCGTGAGATCACAGAAAGATTATCAGTGATGGCTGGTAGCAAATCGATTGATAGCTTGAAATTCCTTCATGATGTGTGATTTTTTTTGTTGATGCAGCTGTTGGGACAACGAAAAGCATATGATAATAATTTCTTTGAATTTTTTTTAATGATTTGTAATTTTTTTATAAATTACATAAAAACTTTATTAATAATTTCTTTGAATTTTTTTTAATGATTTGTAATTTTTTTATAAATTACATAAAAACTTTATTAATAATTTACAAGGAAATTAAGGTATTATTAAACTAATGTTTTTTGTTTATTAGAAAACCACACAAGCATCTTTCTATCATATCTTTCTTGATATATAATAAACTAGATAAATGCATAGCATTGTAATCTGATGCTAACTATTTATAATAAAATTTCATTTATAATTGGGTTTCAAAATTAAAATCAGAAAATCTTGCCGATTTATAATTCGACGTAGTAAAAAAAAATAATTCTTATTTTGTAAAATGCGCAATTTTTTTGCTAATTTTGAAAACCTCCTAGTAGATCTTATTGGTCGAATTAAGTGGACGAAAGACAAAAATTTTTATCTTTTTGAATACTTAAAACAATATCAATATTAAATATTAGCGTGACTAGTTATTTAGACGCCAACTTATGATGAAAATCAAGTAAAATTGGTATAAAAAATTATGTCAAAATACTTTGGTGCCTGCTGTATTTATTCAGAGATGGTAATCGATCTATGACTACAGAATTACTTTATGTTATTGACTACTAAATTTCTTTTTATCAATTATATCAACTCTAAAAAAAAAACTTGAATGTAACAAAAATTACTAATGTTCTATTTTAAAAAATGGCCGATCAATCATATGATTAATCGATCGATCAATCTAACTTGTTAAAGCTTTCACGAACTACTTAGCTAATCGCATGAGTAATCTAATGAGTAATCGAATGAGTAATCGCATGAGTAAAGTATAAATATAACCTGAAAAGCACAAAAAATTTGTACATAGCATGCATAATCTGATAGATATCGGATAGATATTGGATCGGTGTAATTAAAATTATTGGCATTATAATTTCTTTGCATGGGGATATTTAAAGGGGAGAAGATTTTTTTATTAGGGTTCTACAAGTGCTGGCATAGCCGTTCCTGTGATTGGCTGTAGTGGCCGTGCTGGCACTTGCAAAACCTTAATTCTTACAGTATATACAGTATTTTATTAAATTAATTAAATTAAGTCACCTTAGGTTCCTTTGATTAGGTTTAAATAAGCAAAACTGCTTTTCTGATATTAAGGCACCACCCTTTAGACTTTTCAAGTTTTTCACTTTTTTTGAATTTACCAAATTCTATCACCTACATTCTGATGCCAGTTATGTGAATACTGCTAAATTGTTTAGCCTTCAAAAAATCTCAAATTAAAATTGAATGATGTCGTTCTGAAATCTGACCAAGTCTAATCTCAATCAATATCGTAATGGTGTTTTTTGTGTTACTCTTGCTCATTGATCGATAAATAACTATGCTAATTCTGATATAATGTAAATAGAGAAAAAACGTCGTACGATAAAGCTGTTGTTGAACCAACTTATATCTAGTACAATTTAAAATATAGTTGCTTACTGATACGTATCCACTAATCGGTACCCAGTTTGTACTATACAGTGTTACATAAGTATACAATATTGGGCAGACGATAAAAAAATTCCCTGTTATTTGAGTATGCCCAATATTGGTGTTATCCGGCAGTAATATATGACCATGTGATGTTTTTTCCTGTGATATTTTTGCATAAATGAAATATCAAGGCAAAAAAAATTCACATGATCATATAAATGCCGGATAAAGTAGTATAATCGGAAATACAAAGGATGTTATGTAGGATTTAAAAAAAGACAAACGTATAACATACATGTACGGTTAGAGTTAAGATTATACTTCATGTTAGGATTATGATTAGGATTATGATTAGGGTATAGGTTTATATGAATAGTTCAAGTGTTAGTCTGATCAAATATTATACGCGTTAATATAATAAACGCCTATGATTATAAGTTACTAAATTTATTAACATAACTATACAACTTTACATAGGACATTTTTTGTACTGTATCGTTCGATTTAGGCGTACTTGCGTACGTACGTATCTGGCTTTAGGCTAGTTCCGTAAATAATAAACGTTACACTTATCATACCGAAATCAATAACTTATTCGAATCGACTGAATGTTATTCGGTTAATTTTTTATAAGGTGTCCCAGGAGTAATGACAACCGCTGTAAATAAATTCAATGTCTAACAGATAATGGATTCAAGTTCTATAAGAAACAATGCTATTAAAGCTTAAATCATCTACTTTAATAATGCATTATTTTAAACCCTAACTAAAATGTTTAAGCTATTTATTTCTTATTTGTGATTTTTTGGCTTAAGTATAAATTTAATTATAAAAATTTAATCTTTAATTAAATATATAGTATTTAGAAATTTAGTCATGCTATTATTTAGTTTAATATTTGGCATTTAATCAAGTTTAAGATTTTGACAAAAAATAGGTCTATGTCGAAATATATTTAGACACTTAATTTTCTAAATGTTTGATTAAATAGTATATTTCGGCTAACAACACTATGTCAGTTAAAATCTAATTCCCAGACACATTTCCAATACATTTTGACCCGTTGATTAAGGTGTGTGAAAGCACCCAAAGTGTCACTTTTTACATGTAAAATTTTGTTTAAGCATTAGTTTTTGAGCGGTTTTGCTTTTACTCTTCTTTCGTCTTTGCACGTGTTTGAAGTATATGATTCTATGTTGGGTAATCAAAAAATCGAACTTACTGATTAGCTGTTTCTTTTTAGGAATTACTCGTGAAAATAATTTGATGCATCCCAACGTTGCACGGGTTCGGAGCCAATGATTCGATTCAAAAAAGTAATAGAATTTCATCTGCGTTTAAATTTTAAATATAGGAAAGGAGCTGTATGAAGCGTAAAAATATAAATAACATTCCTATGAATTTGAATTCATACAAAACGATCGAAAAGAGAACAGTTAGTATTATTAGTATAGGAAATCTTTTGCAATTTCTTGTATTGTTATACATGACACAACGTTTAACTAAACCAAAAATTGTCGCAAAATTTTCTTTAGATTTAATCGTGTGTTAACCTTCACTATGCAAAAAGAATCTAATACAATCTTGAAACTGACACTTTGGGCGTTCTCACGAGCCTTAATTAATGGGTCAAAGTTTGTCAGAAAATAAATTTTACTTGACTGAAAATATTCCAAGCGGGTCAAATGTGCAGAATATTTAAATAATAATCGTAATTTGATAAAGTTCATTACGTAAATAAAAATATTTTTATTACTAAAAGACAAAATATTGAGTTTTTCATTTCAATTTATAACTTTTTGCGCAAACTATTTTTTTTTTGTTATATGGTGCTAGAAACCTATGCTAGACAATAAAAATATTATAACTTTAAAATGTATTAAGTTTTTATAGAAGCAATATTTTGAAAAATATTTAGTAATTTTGTTGAGCTTATTATGAAAAACTAAGTTAACGGTCAAAACTTTAAAAATTTTGAGTTTATAAAAAATTATAGCACTTTAAAGATCATTTTTAAATTTAAACATGTAGTGATTATTTATAAATAATAATTACCTTTAAACCGCATTAATTTTTTGTTAGGGATGTTACGGTCTTGGTCCCAAAGACCAAGACCAGGACCAGATCGTGATCCATAGACTGGTTTGTCAAATAGTCCGGTTCATTCTCGACCAATAGAAATTATCAAAAAATTTTTAAACTACTGTAACTGATTAATTTTTATAGATCTACCCGTGATTTATTAACCAACCGAATTACATAATTAGAGTTATTAGAGATTATTTTTAAAGGTAGCACTCTGACATTTAACAAAGTATATATAAATAATTAATATATAACACTTGATTTCTTAAAAAGTACCTTAAAGCATATATAAATGACCTAGGCAATTGATTTACATCAGACAGCCAGACGAATTTCTTTCCATAATACCATATTAGCATTAATAGATTAAGGACCGGTCCGGATTAGTTCTAAATTTATGAACCAAAAACCAAGCAGACCGGTTCAAAAGACCGGTCTGGACCGCAACATCTCTAATTTTTATATAGATCTTTCAAAAAATTTTTTTTTATCAAATTTATAGAACTTATAAAAGTACAAGCAGTTTGTTCTAAAACCTTTGTATAAAAAGCTAGTGATTTAAAAAATTAAACATGTCTAATATAGGCTTCTAACACCATAGCTGGTTTTGCAAAATTTGTCACCAATTGAGTAT